AGAGATTATAGGGCTCAGAAGACAGGAAGATTTGGGAAAGTTTAGAACATTCCAGAAACTTGTTGCTTGGCTTTGACCTAAATGCTGATACTGATATGGACAATAAAGTCCAGGCTGAAGTGGTCTCAGATGGAGATGAAGAACTTGTTGGGAACTAGAGAAAAGGCCACTGTTCCTGTGCAAAGAGACTGGCAGCATTTGCCCCTGCCCTAGAGATCTGTGGAATTTTCAGCATGAGTGAGATGATTTAGGGTATATGACAGAATAAATTTCTCAGAGGCAAAGTGCTGAAGAGGAAACAGAGCATAAAAGTCTGAAAAATCTGCAGCCTGACAACGCAAGAGAAAAGAAAAATCCATTTTCTGGGGAGAAATTCAAGTCTGCTGTAGAACTTTGCATAAGTAACAAGGAGCTGAATGTTAATCACCAAGACAGTGGGGAAAATGTCTCCAGGCCATGTTAGAGATCTTTTTGGCAGCTCCTCCCATCACAGGCCCAGAGGCCCAGGAGAAAAAAATTGTTTCCTGGGCCAGGACCAGGCAACCCCTACTTTGTGCAGTGTAGGAACTTAGTGCCCTGCATTCCAGCTGCTCCAGCTGTGGCTAAAAGGGGCCAAGGTACAGTTAGGGCCATGGCTTCAGAGGGTGCAAGCCCCAAGTCTTGGCAGCTTCCACACAGTCTTGAGCCTATGGGTACACAGAAGTCAAGAACTGAGGTTTGGGAACCTCTGCCTAGATTTTGGAGGATATATGAAAACACCTGGATGTCCAGGAAAAAGTTTACTGCAGGTGCAGAGCCCTCATGGAGAACCTCTGCTAGTGCAGTACAAAGGGAAAATGTAGGGTTGGAGCCTCCACACAGAGTCTCTACTGGGGAACTGCCCGGTGCAGCTGTGAGAAGAGGAACCACCATCCTCCATAACCCAAAATGGTAGATCCACTGACGGCTTGCACTTTGTGCTTAGAAAAGCCACAGAAAGTACCAGCCTGTGAAAGCAGCAAGGAGGGGAGCTGTACCTTGCAAATCCATAGGGGTGGAGCTGCCCAAGGCCATGGGAACCCACCTCTTTCATCAGTGTGACCTGGATGTGAGTCATGGAGTCAAAGGAGATCATTTTGGAGCTTTAAGATTTGACTGCCTTGCTGGAATTTAAGACTTGCATGGGGCCTGTAACCCCTTTGTTTTGGCCAGTTTCTTCCATTTGGAACAGCTGTTATTTACCTAATGCTTGTACCCACATTATATCTAGCAAGCAGCTAACTTGCTTTTGATTTTACAGGCTCATAGGCAGAAGGAACTTGCCTTGTCTTAGATAAGATTTTGGACTATAGGCCTTTGAGTTAGTGCTGAAATGAGTTAAGACTTTGGGGGACTGTTGGTAAGGCATTATTGGTTTTGAAATTTGAGGACATGAGATTTGGCAGGGGCCAGAGGAGAAACGATATGATTTGTCTTTGTGTCCCCACCCAAATCTCACCTTAAATTATAATAATCTCCACATGTCATGGGAGGGACCCAATGGGAGGTAAATTGAATCATAGGGGTGGGATTTTTTCTGTGCTGGTCTTGTGATAGTAAGTCTCACTAGATCTGATGGTTTTATAAAAAGGAGTTCCTCTGCACATGCTCTTTTGCCTACTGCCATGTAAGACGTGACTTTCCTCCTCATTCACCTTCTGCCTTGATTGTGAGTCCTCCCCAGCCATGTGGAATTGTGAGGCAATTCAACCTCTTTCCTTTATAAGTTACCCAGTCTCTGGTATGTCTTTATTAGCAACATAAGGACAGACTGATAACACACTCCTTTCTAAAGGATTCTTTCTTAAACTCAGGCATTAAGATGCATGGTCTCATTTTTAACAATTAAGATGGTTATTAGTTATACTGGTTTCTTGCTCAATATTTTTTGTTGCTTTTGTTGCTCTTACCTGGACTCATGTATTCTTTAATGTGCAGTATATTCACAAGTGATTTTTGGACATCTGAAAAAATGTGACTGGCTTTTGTGTGATACCTTTAATTAATAATGCTTCTGAACTAGTGTTTTATGAAATACACTTTGGAAAATTATGACATAAATATACTTACAACGAGGAAAAATACTGAGATTTCTTAGATTTGATCTCATTATTAAGATTAAACTGTCTTCTGACCAAATGAACCCCTATAAATATGGATTCAAATGGACCTCACACAAAGAATTACCAGGAATACAACATTTGCCTTTCCTCATGACATTTCAGTTATGCTTTCTTTCTTTACTGTATTTTTGAGTTATAGACAAATGAACAGAAACAGGAAATCAAACACTTTTCACTTAAAGTCTTAACAATTTCTCAAACAAGGTAGAATAAATAAAGTTGTAGACTTATTAGAATCCCTCTACCCCACTCTTTCCCCACACCCACACATTGGTAAATGAAACCATATATAGGACAACAAGATACACATTTTCTACTTGTGAGTCAATATTACTGAGCTTTGCTATCAACTTAGGAAACATGAGAAAATGAGATTTAGATAAGAACAAATGCTATGGTAAAGAGTGACGCCCAACCCCAGATTAAATAGTAACACTTTTTGAAGTAGGACTTTGTAAATACGTGTTTTTCATTTATATCTGGTAATTTCCATCCTCCTCTTCCACCCTGAAGTATCTGTCATGTGAAGATATTTGAAGAAACATAATAATGAACTCTATCTGGGAAACAGGGAGTTAACTTTGAAAGAAAAATCTCTTATTGGAGATAGGTTACATGAGATTTTGCTGGACATGGAAAACAAATGCAATAACCTTCACCTTCATTTCCTGGAGTAGCTCTGATACACCCCCCGTAATTCCCACTTGGAAACTTGAAATAAGATTTGATTGCAGTCTCTACAATGAACATATGTTGTATGTACAAATAGCTTCCAAGCCTTTTGATGTCCATTAGGAGGAAGGAGTGGGGAGCTGTTTCCTGTAGGAATATGGGGCACTCGGGAGCATTAAAGAAAGAAACAATGGCAAAGGAAATGCCAGTCTTTTGTACTCATTATGTTTCTGTGAACAATTAATTTCATGAGTTTCGAGGCCCTTAATGGATGCGTTACACGTTCCAATTTTGTTCCCACAACTATCTTGGAGAACCATACATAATACTTCTATACTTTAGATTTGCATTTGAAAAAAACACCCAATGTCATCCCATCCCTACTTTCCTTGATCACCTAATGGGGATATTGGATTGCTGTGATTTTGAGGACAAATAACTATTAACCAGAAATGCCAATATCAATAGTTAGATGTAAACTTTTTTTTTTTTTTTTTTTTTTTTTTAAGATGGAGTCTTGCTGTGTCACCCAGGCTGGAGTGCAGTGGCGCTCTCGGCTCATGAAACCTCTGCCTCCTGGGTGCAGGCCATTCTCTGCCTCAGCCTCCCAAATAGCTAGGAGACAACAAACAATATGAAAGGCCTTTTGGAACATTTGTAGTTAGAAGATCCATTAAAATGCATGATTTTATCAAGTCTTGTTCCTTCTGGCCTCCAATTCCCCACATAATTTTCTCTTTCTTGGGGACAGAGAATATTAGAAAAACAAATAAAATAATAACTTTTCATAAATACATCAACCAGAAATAACCTCAGTATATAGCCTTAAAATCATAAAAGTATATATATATTTTGTCAAAGAATTAAGAGTTTTGTGTCATAACAAAGGGGATTAGTTTATTAAGCACAGTTATTAAAATAGAAGTCTATTCTGTATTTTACTTTCTACAAAACTTTGTTTTTGCCAAACATCCTAATTTTTATTCTTTCTTACCTTAAACCATAGTAATACTTTAAAGTTATAAATGGGCTTTGTATGACTTAGACATTTCACATGTATTATTGAGCTTGTATCATCCAAATCCTTGGATTGTTCCAAAGTTACAGAAAAAGAAATCAGAGTACTTGGGACAGTGCCTTACTCAGAAATTCACACATGAATTGTTCAAGTGAAAAGGCTCCAGACACAGTCTAATCCACACTTAAGCTTATTACCTAAGGACTTTCAATGCTGACTATGGTTGAACAATAAACATTGAAATAGCAGTTATCTAACACCTATAATTTCCAGATAACTATGTTGGAAAGTTTAGTTGTGAGACAATTCATGGCCCTATGACTAAAAATGGATGCCTCCCATTATGTTTTTAGAGGGGCTCTTTAGTAGAATTGTTTTATATCCAACTTCCACTGTGATACGCAGTTAATTAAATCATTCAGTGTGAAAGTTACTTAAATTTTAAGTGATACCAGTCTAGCTCAGTTCTTCCCATTCCTCTCCTGTCTGTATTTAGAGCTGTGCATCATGTTTCTAATTGCTCCTCCTTTTCTAATAATTATCAGTCTCTTAAGAAGAACATAAATGAGGGCAGAAGAAAGCTTTTCATTGTGTGTTAGGTCCTCAGTAATAATCTACATCAGCAAGTGCTTAGCAGTTTAAAAATATTATGTCTGAAATCCCAGCACTTTGGGAGGCCAAGGTGGGTGGATCATGAGGGTGAGAAGTTCAAGACCAGCCTGGCCAACATGGTGAAGCCCCATCTCTACTAAAAATTAAAAAATTAGCTTGGTGTGGTGGCAGGTGCCTGCCATCACAGCTACTCAGGAGGCTGAGGCAGAAAACTGCTTGTACCTGGGAGGCAGGGTTGCAATGAGCTGAGATCGTGCCACTGCACTCCAGACTGGGTGACACAGTGAGACTCCATGTCAAAAAAAAATCTTAACTTTTACAGCTAACTATTGATATTGGTATTTCTGGTTAATAGTTCCTTATCCTCAAAATTCCATTCTCCCTTTTTTCCTGGGCATGTCTTCCCTATTCAAGATTATGTTTCTCAGCTTCCCATGCGGCTATAGTCATGTGACTAAGTTCTCACGAATGGGATCCGAGGGGAAAAACAAAAGCTCCTGTGTGTGAGACTTACTGAAAAATGACTGCTCATCCTGGACTTCTCATTCTTCTTGCAGGCTGGCCGAATTGGCCGCAACCCAGATTTGCCCTTGTAAGTGTGAAAAATACCTCCAGTATGACCCCAAGGCAAGATGAAAGAAAACTGTGCTCTTGAATGGCTTATAGATCCAGAGCCCCCCAACCAGCTTGAAATGCCCACCTCAAAACAATGACCTGAGAGGAAACAAACCTCTAAGCCGCTGTTTTTCCAAGAGCATTATAGTTTGAGATCTCTCTTTCAGCAGTTTAGTCTCCAAATAAAGACTTATTGACCTTATTTTACAGGTCAAGAAAAATGAATTTCAGGGGGACAAGTCACTAATGTGTTAGAAATTTTCCAGCTCTCCTTCCTTGCCCAGCAGAGGGTATTTCCACTCAAACACAGTGCACCTGCTGGAAAGGGACAAAACAAAATGGGATGGGCCTGGGACAAGAGAACATTCAGCTACACAGGATCCACATGAAACCCTTTCATCTTTCCATTTCCAGATCTCAAATGAGCATTTTTGTCTAGCAGTTCTCCTCAAGAGGTTTGCTTTCCCCCCACAGCTTGTCACCAGTGTAAGGAGTTCAGAAAGAGCTTTTGGGGTTGTAGGTTATGTGGCATCATCCCAGCTTGTCTCAACACCTCTGATGAACAGTAATGGAAGAAAGGACTCTTTCCACATGATTTCCTCAGCAATCCTGTCTCTTAGGGAGTTTATAAAAAAAAAATCCATCATCTTGTTCTGCTAAACCCAGATAAATATAATTAACACCAAATTTGTGTTCTGCTCATCAAATTGCACAGCCATAAAGAGATAATCTTCATGAAATAAATGACTAGGCCTCCTTGGTAAGTCAGTAAGGCAAAAACCTTGAGAGCAAATTAAGACAAATGGGAAACCAGCTGGAAGAAATCAAACAGGCAAAGCAGGTGGGTTGGCTTGTGTTTGGGAAGATAAAACACAGCATGAAGCATTTGCACATTTACACAAAAGCAAGATCTATAAACTTAGGCTTTAAACTGAGCTAAATGCATGACTTATTTAAGAAGAGCTGGTAGCTGGGAACTGGTTGAACTAAGAATGTCAAGGCCAATTCTGAAGATGTTTTCTTGTACTTAGCCTGTTTTTACATGCTCTGAAGATTGCCAAACAACAAGCAACAGATGGTCCTGTATCTAACTGCGATGCTAAGTGGTATGAGGGATGGCATGATTGACCATTTATGCAGAGTAGCATAAAAGAAGGAATTCTTGTTAAAAATGCCACTGTTGTATCAAGTGGCTGTAAAACAAGCAAGAGGTGAGTAGACCTTCAACAATCTGTTCCTCACTGGGACAAAACCAACACTGGGCCTAACAGCCCTGAAGCATTCCAACATACATCTGTAGACAGGCAAAAGCTCAAAAGCTACAGCATCACTGGGAATACATCCTTAGGTGACAATCCTGCATCGAGCAATTCCATTGCCTTTTCCCAAAGAATATGCCTTGCTGTTGTAATCGTAGGTTTAGACATCTCAGTTGATCCCATTTTGGCAGGATTCATTTGGCCAAAAATAAATGATTGCCCCTTTCATTTGGGCCTCTGACAATGCTTCAGAAGTTATAGTCCAAGCACACACACATAGTGCCAGAAGTCTAGTTTCCAGTAACTTCTGGCTAAGAGCCTCAGAGTCAGCCTTTCCCAATTTCTTATGCAAAATGTTTAAAGTTAACAAAAGCCACCTAAAAGTACAATTTTCAGAGTCTGGGAATTCTTACATCCAAGAGCAAGATGGATAAACATGGACTGAAAAATGCAATCAAGACCCACAAATACCAAGTTGTTGCCAGAGAACAAGCTCCCCAGGTGGAAGAAAGTAGAGAAATCCCCAAACCATTTGTCCTCTGGCTCAAGAACACCAGAACTATACCAACAAAAAACTGTGCAGCCATCACTCTCCTGCACAGGTGTACCGCCTTGTGAAGTCATCAGGGGGACTTCAGTGTTAACAAACCCTCCTCACATATACCCACTACCACTAAAACAGCTCTTCTATACAAATTGGAAACTGAAGCTCCCAGGAAACAACTTGAAAGTAATGTGAAGACACTTAAGGTTGTCAGATTTAGCAAACAAAAATACAAGGATGCCCAGTTGAACTTAAATTTAGTATAAACTACAAGTAATTTTTAATATAAGTATGTCTCAAGTAATAAACAGGACTACAAATAATGTGTTAGTGTAAGTATGCCTGTAAGTATTTGGGACAAACTTACACTAACAAATTATTTGTCATTTATCTGAAATTCAAACTTAACTAGGCATTCTATACTTAACTTGGCAACTTGAGGAAGGGAGAAAAAAGAGAATATAGTATCACATTGCATCATGGAGATACATACCTTAAAAATAAAAATGTTATAGTCTGAGGCCAAGACACAGAAACCTTTGCAGGAGTGCTAATTGGGTATTATAAATTTATATTTATTAACTCTTTTTAGAAAATCATAATCTCAAAGGAAAATGCAATCTCAGAGGAAAATATTCTAAATCATCCCAATACAGACAACATCCCTACAAGGAAACAGCGTGACATATTCAATCAAAACAACATGAATTCTTACCAACTAAGAATTGGACTAGAATTTAGAATGTATACTCAGTGGCCTGCCTTTTAGCTATTTATAGCTAAACTCCAACAGACACCAAATGTCATGAAAGGAAATCCACATGCCCATCATTGACAGTCAGTCTAAACAGAATTCGTTTCATTAGGAATAAGGAGGAGGAAAAAAAAAACTCTATTTCAGAATATGGGAAAGCGATTACTATCCCAAGAATACAAAAAAATTATTTTTATACTACCTGACATAATCAAAAGAATATGAATCACATGAAACGAGACAGAAGCCACAAGGATGAATTAAGAAGCTTGGTAGGTGAGTTAAAGATATTTCAAGAAATTGAAAATATAGTAGGAGTATTAGAATCTTTATTGAAATCTTTGAAGGAATCGACAATGTCTATCATTGAAGTAGAGTTTAAATATGAGATGCTGTCTCAGAACTCATAAGAAAATCAATGATAAAAATAGATGATAGCTATAAAATGATAAGAAATGAAGTACAGAAATTAATTTAAAAAGGAAAAAGAGGTTTGCACAAGATTTGCCTTCTGCAACAATAAATGCCAGAAGAGAGTAGATAAATATCTATAAAATTTGAGTAAATATTACTCCTCCAAAGTGCATATTTACTCAATTTTCCATCTTGTGTAAAGAAAAGACATTCTCACATATGACAGAGCCAGAAAACACATCATGTGTACATTTCTTGAAAATAAATTTCACTGGGAAGTTTAAAATGTGCTCGAGAAATTAACCAAATTATCAATTCAAAACTAGATAAGTCCTGGAGAAAAAGCCCCAGTATTTTTCATAATCTGAGGAACACCAAGGTACATGCTGGCTGAGCAATGTGGTCTCTAACAGCAGTTTTTAAATGTGGATGCACATGATAATTACTTGGGGGGGAACACTTAAAAACATCAAGATTCGCCTTCCAGTTCAGATTAATTAAATCGTAAATTCGGAATAACGACTGGAAATGTGGGCACTGAAAGTTTTAAAAGCTCTGAAGTTGATATTAATCTGTATCCAGGGTTGAGAACCATCCTTTAGATAAAGAACAAGCATGAGATCAGGTCTGAGTTTGAACTTTTGTAACCTATGGGACATGAGGTGATTGCAGGCAAATGGTTCGACCCACCTAGACATTATCAATTTTAAAATCTGAGTCAATTATATCTCTATCATATGTTATTAGCATAGAATTAGAAAATATGTCATTCACCAACGTTGGGGATATACAGTTTGTAGTCACAACACCACAATATTTTCACAGTATTTTCTGGGAATGGCAGTACATAAGTGGTGTTTTTATTTTTCTATCATAAGGGTTTTGTAGTAAAGTAGTCCTTTCTCCAATACACAACTAAATTTGATGTAATTCTAAACATATTTAAGTTCTACAGAGAGCAGCAGCTCATTTGCCAACCTTTAAGGATCACTAATATCTGGCCACTCCCACTTTTAATCTGAACCAAACACACTACTCTTCTTACTTAATATTCATGCAAACCCAAATGGTTCTGCCATAGCCCTGCTCACTTCTGCCGTGGTGCAGCCACTCACTTGGGTCACTGGCTCCCACCTGCTGTCTTTTCCTCTCATTGCCCTTTCTTAACAACTCCAGCTCTAACTGACCTTCCTTAGTGCCCTCTAAGTTTACTGCAGTTCTCCACTACCTCCCTCATAGTATAGTACTGTATTATTCATTATTTTGCACTGATTTTCCCCAATCTAAACTTTAGCTTCCTGTGGGTGGTATAGAAAGAAGAGAGTGTGATATGGAAAGAGTATTTAACAATGCACAAAAATGCTCATCTATGGTGTTGAAACAAAAGCAGTTCACTGAATGAATATATAATATTGACTTGATAGAAAACTGCATGAGGCAAAGACTGAAAAAATAAACTAAAGGCTTGGCAGTGGTAGCTTCTTAGTTGTAAGATTATTGGGGACTATTATGTTTTCTTTATATTTCTATTTCCCATTAGCTGCATTTATAAGTTCTGTAGTAAGTCAGCATATGCAAAATGGCGTATACAATAAAATCAAATTTTTCAGAAAGCAACTAATACAAAGATACAAAAGGAAGGATACCATGATTATTAATAGCATTCATAAGAGAAGACATAAGAAGGTCAAATAAACACATGATAAGCACATGAAAAATTTGCCAAACGTTATCAAGGAAATGCAGTTTAAGCAGCAATCAACCATTAATTCACAAACCAGAATATGACAATAATTAAAAGGTCTAACAACACCTAATAATGACCAGAATGTGCATCCATATTAAATGTTGACATTAATGACTATAATAACAAAAAATTGGCAATAACCTGACCCTGGAGAAATAGTTGGAAAATTGTTGTTTAACTTCAAAGGAGAATATTTTATAGCCACCAAAAGTTATGTTTTGATAGAATTTTAAATGATAAGTTGAAAGCTCATGGTATTGAGAAAGCATGTCAAATGTCAAAAACAGTTAATTCTGGGGTGGTGGTGTGAGAGAGCTAATTTTTTTCCTGCATACTTTTCCAAGTGTCAGTATATATTACTTATATCAGAGGTAAAAGCAAATAACAAATGTTAATGTGATGACTTGTTTTTGGAATACAAGTACAATTTACCTCAGCAAGGGAATTCATGTTTCATGAACCAGTGACCCTCAATGCTGATTATTAAATGACCTGGATTTTCTAGGCAATAGCTTTACTTGATACATTGTGTATTTTTGGTTTAATTGTTGGTCAATTTGGTACTCCATATGGTAGTGCTACTCAAAATGTGTTGTGAACCCTTGGTGGTCCATAGAGTCAAAACTATTTTCATAATAACGCTAAAACATTATTTGCCTTTTTCATCATGTTGACATTTGCACTAATGGTGCAAAAGCAATTGAGGGTAAGATTGTTGGTGCCTAAGCATGAATCCAGATGGTGGCTCCAAACTTTACTAGTTTTCACTGTATTCTTTGCTACCACATACTCACTGTTAAAAAATAATTTTAAAATTAAAATATTTACTTCAGAATGTCTTTATGAAACAGAGAAAAATATTAAATCTCCACTGTTGAGTACATGTGTTTATAAAATGCTCTATGCCACAATCGGAAATGCACCGAAAGCATACCAAGTACCATCGTTGTCTTAAGAACAAGCACATGT